GGCAAGGAGAATCCCTTCTGCTGAATGTCTGCTTTTACTTATGTTTTGCAAGGTGAATATTTCACTTATGTCAAGTAACTAACAGAGGCTGCAAGAGGAAGTTGAAACCTCCAAAATGTTTATACCACTTACCGAGGGGAAAAAAAAAAGCAAACCAACAACAGGAATTCAAGTGAGTGATCCTCAGGAGAACAGAGAACAAACCCAGTCGCTTTCCAGAAGGTGCTATTATTTCAAATCTTCATCCATTCTGATGTTATTCAGGACAGCAGCAATTGGTATGCCTTATTCCTATACAAGGTGGAGACTTCATTCTTACACGCCCTATGCTAAGCTGGTTCAGTGTCACATTTTAAGCACCCTTTCTGGCAGCTGCAACTGCACCAGGTCATGCTATGCAGGCAGACTAGCTAAGGAGCTATTTCAGATTGTTACAACTGTGGGCTTTGTAAACTTCTGCTGACTTTCAAGTTTTTCATGAAGAGCCGTGTAAGTGTTAAACCAGTGATTCACCCCTCACTGTAGCTGCAGTACATGGCAACGCCAAAGCTCTGTATCTACAGTGGTAAGGCATAGGGGGCATCAACAGCTCATCTGTCTGCAGAACTCTTTCTTTCACAGAGGACGCTTTGTGTTCAGATCCTGAGAATCTGCCATATCTAACACTGCTGCTCAGGGATAACATCTCCAAGAAGCACTGTATGGAAGATCATTTGGCAGTTGTTGAATCAATCTGAACACCTCAGGCAACAACGACCAAGCACCGTGTTCTAAGCATACAAAGCATCAGACACAGCCTCAGTGATAATCTCTGTGCTCCAGCTTTTGTCAGTTCCAATTTATCCACAAGAAATTCCCAAAGCAGCACCTGACATCACCGGTTTGGTTTGGATACAAGTGAAACAGATTACTAAGGCCCCCTGGTGGCACGACTGGAGAGGTGAGCGCTAACCACCGCTTTAACCTTAGAGTTCAAAAGCTGTGACACAGCCACTCGTGAAAGAGCTCAGAATAATTCCTCGGGGACGACCATCACAACAGCTAAAGTATCAAATGCACTTTAATGAGTTCCAGATTGTTTTGTTCTCAAAATTCAAATGGTGTCAGTACATTACACAGGTATGTGACCTCCCCCTGAACTACAATCATGACAAGAACAGGTTACAGTATACTTCATATTTAAAACCATCATCATCATAAATCAGTTTTCCACAGTATTAGAAATAAGGCATGTTTCAGATGTGCAAACAGATGCTCTATCCAGTCCTCAGATACCATATTTGCCCTTTAGCTCTTCCACTTTTGCTACATAAGCTTTCATTGCATCTTCTTTAGACATTCCTGAAAGACAAACAGAGGAAGCAGTCAGAATACATACAGTGGCTCAACAAAATGCCCCGAGGCAGCTTTTCTTTGAGCAGGGACACACAAATGCAGAGACAACTGAAGCCTGGTGACAACAGTGTCTCAGCTTCATCAGCTCAGAGTTTGATTCACAACAGCTGTTCTTCCTGTTCCTCTACTCTGCAAGATTCACGAGCCTGCTCATCTACAAATACATCCATGCTATATTCATCACTGTTTATTTGCCTGATCAGACAGTTTTAAAGCTCCCTTATGCACTGTTCTGTTGACTATTCAGAGATAGATCTTTGAACATTTTTCAGTTTTGACTCCCTTCTATATGGATGTTGCTGATTTACATGTGCATTCTCAAGTCACTATTAAAGGAACAACTTTCTGACATGTTACTTACTGCAGTGCATCTGTTTTGCCTTTCTCTCAGCTAGAATCACTGCCAAGTTCTCCACATTCAATAAAACATTTCCCTACCGTAGCTGGACAGAAGAAACATGATCAGCAATAGAATAACTCCCTTAGCAGGCATCTTTTTCAGTATCTCAGCCTGCACCTGTACAATTACATTACATAAAAGATCCATGAGCCTTTGTTAAAGTACCTGCCACAAGCGTAGAGTCACTCAGTTCTGAGTTAGGAATTAAAACAGCCTTCAGCATTAGGATAGTATTTACATGCAAGTCACAGCTCCCTGCTATACTATTTCACAGCATAGCAGAGAAGCTTAATAGGGTCACTTGGCTATGAATCCAGTATCAAAGTTTTGAACAAAATTGCTCAACGGTTTTACAGCAAAGCTATATTTGTATGGACAACAACTAGACAGTGCTTTAACTCTATTGACTCAGTCCCCATTTACTGTAGGAAAGCTATTCAAACAACTCAGACTGCATTTGGATGTATGCTGGCTTGGTTAAAACACTAGAAAAACCACATTTTCATAGCTTAGACTCCTTGTGATGCTCCTCAGCAAATATCTCAGCAGATCCCAGTAGAGGGATTCTACTCTAGAAGAAAAAGAACAACTGGAAGGAACTGGAGGAGCAGATCACTGTGAGGTACTGCTAGGCTGGGACTCAGAAAGGAGATTTAAGTTTCTGCTGCTGCTACAGTTTGCCTTTGTGTAACATTTTCATCCAGCTGGGCAACTTAAATCTTCTTCTGATAGACAGCCTACATTTTTCATAACTATTTCTCCCTTGCAGAGAATAAGAATTATGATTTTATACTCCTAAAGCTCTTACAAGGCAACACCATTTGATTTCTTGCTGAACCACATGTGGTTCTCTGAGTAGTTTCCCTTAGTTTTATTTATTCACTTTTAATTTTTAAGTAGACACTTACCTTTCAATGCATTCCAGGCATCCCACTTTGCTTTGCCTTTGAAGTCAAGCATACCAGGGCGATCTAGGAGAAAGGATAAGCAGCACAGTTAGTTTGTGTGGCCTGGCTGTAGATAATTCTGACTCTTTTCCTGAAGCCTATTTAGTTCTTAACCATGATAAAATACTCTGGTTCACCTCAGCAGCTACCCCTTTCTAACTTGCAGTCAGAAGCACACATGCTACTGGTAGCAGTAGAAAAGCTCCCTGTCAAATTCCTTTAAGACAGCAGCATCTGAACAGAAGAGCATCAAATGGTGCCATTTGGTCTCTCACTGCACTTTTTGAAAAGAATACTGTGGCATAAAAACAAGCTGATTAAAGAACATCAGCTCTAAAGTGAAGCAGAAATGTCCTTAGGTCATGAAATGCCCAAAGACAAGAAATCAAAAGCCAGTAATATAAAGCTTAGAACATCTTATCATCAAGTAAATGGTATGTTTCTAACAAAGTACTTCCTTTGTTCTGTCATTCTGTGAGTATAGGCATTGAATTCTAACTCACCTCATTACAAGCCACACTGTAGCCAAACAGAGAACAGGGTTAGGTGTGGATGTGTATATGATCAGTCTTCATTTGACATCTATTCTGTTTTTACTTCCTCTGTCTCAATAAATATAGTTCCTGAGATTATCAATTAAACAGCACTGGTAAGTAGCCTAACCATTAGCCACAGAGGTCCTTTTGTGCTGCGCACAGAAATAGCTGGCAGCTGTACTTCTCTCCAGCACAAAAACCTATCAGCTTACTCTTAGATTGCTTTCCCAGACAACTCAGCTATTGCTTATTGCTTCACTGCAATGCAACCACTTACAGACGTGTTGGTACATTAACAGCTCTACAGCACCACTTCACTTTGGTAAACTAAAACACTGAGCTCCAACCATGCCAAAAGGATTACATCTTGAAATCAAGCTCAGTTCTTTCACCCCCCAGTGCTGTCTGTCATGGGGGAATAAACAACTACATACACCCACACTTATCATTTCCAGTACATTTCCTTGCCTGCTCTGGATTCAGTCAACACTCAGAAACCTTCGGAAACAACCAGTTCAGGAGGCCAGAGCCCCATCGAAACACCCCTTTTCTTCCTAGCTCTGGTTTCTCAAGTGCTACACAAGGTCACTAGAGACAGGGTTCATTCTAAATGCTGGTCACAGTCTGAGCTTTAGTGGCATCACAAGCAGCAGCAGAGATTTGGCACAGCGCTTCCACAGAAGTATTTCTGCTGCAGTTCTTCCATGATATTTGATTGCAGCTTGATATTTGACTGCAGCTTTTATAAGTGTTCCTTCTCCTGTACGCATCCCGGGTTATTTTCCTCCTTTAGTTTTCCAGTACTACTTTTAGCGCTCTAGTTTATCACTCTTCCTAGTGCTGCCCACACCTGACTAAACGTGCTCACACTGAGCAGCATCCCTGCCCTCAGCAGCCCCTCACTGACGGAGGTGCCCAGCAATCCCGCAGCACGTACCCGTGTTCACGTCGCCCACCGTGGCCTGCTTGTAGTGGCTGTATACGTCGAGCATCTCCTGGTCCGTAGGCTGCGACTTGAGCTGCTTCACCTCCTCAGCTGCCTTCTGGAACGCGGCCTGGGGGAAAAGGCCCCATAGCAGGACGTGGGTCAGCACCGAGAAGGAAGAAAGGGACGCCCGCCCCGCGGCCCCGCCGCCGCCGCCGCCGCCCCTACCTCAGACATGGCGACGAACCCCTAACACCGCGCTCCGCAACTCTGCCGCACCGCCCCGGCCGCTCTGCCGCCTCAGCCCTCGCCACCGAGCCCGCTCGCCAATCCCGGCGCCGCGGCTAACAACGCGCCAATCGGCGCTCGCGGGGGGAGGGGAAAATTCGGGGAAAGGACCAATGGAAAAGCAGCGCCGCATGGGAGAGCTTTGGGGAGTCTGCCCACCTCGGCACGGGGCTCGGACATTGCCCGACAACGAGGCAGCCAGGATTGAGGGGCGGGGACGGGGCGCATCGCAGCCAATCCCGCGGCTCGGTTTGCTCAGGATCCGTATCACCCGTCAGATATGATTGGTGAGACTGCGCAAGGGGGCGGGGCGGAGGGCGAAACCCGGAAGTAACGGCTGCGGCCTTGCGGTAAGGTTGGGAGCTGCTCACGCTCCTCTTCCGGGGTGTGGGGCAGTCGCCATTTGTCCCTGGGTGCGTGAGGGGAGGCTGGGGGTGGGCCTGTTTAAAGAGGAGCTTGGGCTGGTAAAACAGAGCAGTTGAAAATTCTGCTCTCTATCAAAGGAGTATGAAGTACGTGGAGCCGTTCTCCATTCATGTCATTACGAATTAACCCCATTAATTCTGCTGTAGTATCCCAGGAGAATTATTTGCGTGTAAGTGGAGGGGAGTTTTCAGTCCCTGAAAGGAGGTGAGAAGGAGCATTGTGTAATAGCCCGGGGATCTTTTTGGGATATTAATGTACAACATAAATACATTTAAAAAGGTTTGCTTTTGATCACACAAGTACGTTCGTTTAGAGCACAAGGGTACGGCAGGTAAAATCACCCAAACGACAAATTGATCACTTGCATTTATCCATAACGTTCTTGTCTGCTTAGCGGAGTCGGGTGCCGCGGTACACAGTGCACACATGGGCTGCTTCACGTGCAGGGCCAATAAAACCCTGGGTAACTGCTTGAGATTCCTTTGCTGCTTCTGTAGAACTACTAAAAACAAAGCCCTGAGAGGCATGCTGCTATGAAATGTCTCCTCATGTGTGTGAGTCTATCACTGAGGCTTACCTGCACCTTGTTTTCCAGCTGTGCCCATACACAGAGGAAAGTCAATAGTTCCTCTCTTTGATGTTTTCCAGGTTATTTAAAATTAATTCTCATGTCAGCAGAAAGCTCAACCATCACAGTTCGCCTTGTTCGCTCCTTTCAGCACCGGAATTTCAGGCCTGTGGTTTATCATGGAGTTAACTTGGATCAGACAGTGAAGCAGTTCATTGCTTTTGTGCAGAAGGGTAAGGGATTGTTATTTATTTGCTTGTCCTTTTTGTTGTCAACCCTACACTAGAAAGCAAAGTGGAAAAAAATGTGGGAATTCTGTGGCTTTGGAAGAGATGCCAGATTTGTATTTTGTCCTCTGTGCTTTCCTCCCTTGGATGAGAGGTCTGCCCCTAATGAGAGCTTCCAGTGTGCCATGCCTGCATTTGAGTGTACTGCTCTGTCTGCCTAAATCCTCCAAGTGCTCCATCCTTTTTGACTGCCAGACAAGGGCATTGCTACACTTGGCTCCATGCCTCGGGCTCCTTGGGCGGTGCTGTCAGGCAGCTATTCAGAAGTTAACTGGGGGAAATAAATAGATTTTAAGGAGCTTTTGATCCGTAGGAGTTGCACCACTGTGTGGAATGTGGGAATGAAAATCTGTTTGCTATTTGTGAAAGGAGAGGGGATTGTGAAAAATTGTTTTTGACACTGTGAGATCTGCCTGCTCGCTTCTGAATTTCTGTCCTCGTCTTGAGCTTTGTGGTACAGATTTACTCCTCTATGGACGTTATGTTTCCAGAATCTGTCTGAAAGTGACAGTGTATCTAAAGGGTAATAGATGCAGACCAGCCTGTGTAGCAACTCATTAGTAAGGGTGTTAACTAATCTTGCAGGTATATTTCTTCACATCTAAATGGAGACATTCACAGTGTAGAGATCAACAGGCTTTGATTCATTTATTTATTTTGCATGATGTCAGCTTAAACAAGTCTGGAACTGTTGCAACTGATTGCATTTGAGCAACTTCTGGGATATTGCCCTGAGCATCACAGCTGTACTGTGTTTTCAGCAACTTCCTTTCTAGTAGACAATGATTGGCATGGCTAGATCTTAGGATGCTTTTAGAGAACGACAAGCACTTTCAGAGCATATGGTACAGCTGCAGTTATGAAAAAGAAAATTAAAAAACACACACACACGCAAAAAAACTTCTTGCTTTTGATGTGTGCGGTATTGTAATTCATTGTTGAGACAAAACTGGTGCCAGCTGTGTTTCACAGATGGGTATTACTGTTCCTGGTCCAAAATCCATGTTTCCTTCCTTTTCTGTAATCTGTTTTGAAGGAGGAGTTTGAGATAAGTTTCTAAACTGGATTTTTGCTTTCAGCCGCATTGTTGCCAAGTAACTGATAGCAGCTGGGCCTCACAAGGCCTGGGTAAATACCTAGATGTCACTGGGGACACTGGCACCAGTGAGGCTGTGTATTGTATGTATCTAAAGAGTTATTTTCTACTGTTTGGCTTCCTTGCTGTGACTGGTTAGCAGAACTGTGTTTCCTGAACAATTCAGTTAGTAATGATAGTTGTTAGGATGCTGGAGTGTAAGATAGTGAGAGATGCTGAACTTTGAACCATGCGAACCATTAACAGGATGTTTCTGGGAGATTTCTGAAGGATCAGACTCCTGTGATCACAACCTAATTGCACTGAATTGCTGTCTGCATGGATCATTCAGTTCAGAGGGACTTCATGCTCGAGTGAAGTTAAGCCAATACGGACTAACTGCAGAATCTGAGCCAAAGGCTATATTTCAGTATTTAATACTCTAACGACTCTCCTGTGCCGACGATTTATTTTGATGTCCAGGGTGTATGCAATGCACTCACATGCATTACTAGAAATATAGAAAGATAACTTCATTCTTTGTGATTTTCTTTAACAGATGTGCCTTCAAGAACAGGTCTTCCTCCTCCTTTTAAAGCTTACAAATACGGTGGGTATTTTTTCTTAATTTATCTCTAGCAAAATGCAGCTGTAATCTTTTATACTAATTTAGACAGTTTAGGAGATGGCTATTTTAGCATAATCATGCTGGTTGCAGTGCCTGCCTATATTTGCAGCTCTTGTAGTTGGGATGATTATACCTCCAGGACCTGAAGAACCTGACCATTGTTTTGAGCTTCTGTATTTATCTTTGAATTAGGCTGCATGCTGTATGTTCTTTGCTAATAGGTAGCAATATTTTTTGATATTAATATTTTTATTACTTTTATAAGCACCTTTCAGCTCTGTTTTTACTTTACAGAACAGCTTGTGACCTCAAACACTTTGAAATTGTAGTTCCATTTGTACATATGTATTTGGGTATGTTTTTACCAATTGTGAGATCAAAAAGGATCATGAAGCAGGAGCTTATGGCAGTAGAAGGAAAATGCATAAAACTCATATTCGTAAATAATTTACATAATATGAGAGGAGCAGGGAAACATCACTCAAAGTAGATAAGAAAGCTCTTAAATAACAGCTGACAGAGTGAAATAGCCTGGTATCAAATTTAGGCTCAGTCTATCTTCTAATGTGAAACAATGTTTGTGTTTCTTTGTATGAAGTTTTGCATGATTGTGTGCTATCATCAATTTGGAATGGAACATACTTTCAAAATAAACTAAATTATCTCAAATCTTGGAGCGTGGTAACTCAGATGTCAGTCACATACCTTCTCCTCAGTTCAACAATTCTATAAGTTCCCTTGGAGGTTTGTTACAAGTGATCACCTGTCTCCCACGTTCTGGAGTTACAAGCTTCTTTCTCTTCAGTGATTTTAAAAACTGACTGAGAAACCAACTTAATACATGCAAATAGCAGTTGACTCTATTGGCCTATTAAAAAAAAAGCCAAGCATGTCATTCTGATAGCTGATGGTGTGAGATGGAAACAGAAGAAGTTAGGGATTAAGATTTGCAATTGTCAGCAACAAGGAGTTGAAGATCATTGTTTTTAATGTAACACCTGATGTCCTAATAGTTTGAATTTGGAGGTGCCCTTCCTCCCCCTGATATCTCTTGCTTTGTATGGATGAGGGAGTCCATCTAGGACTGCAGTTACATGCCTGATGCTGCCTGTCCCTGCTGTTCGTTCTTTCTTCACTTTTAGTTTTGCCCAGAGCAAATGTTGTGGCTGAGCACCTGATTGTGTTGCGTAGGACTGTGCATAATGTGGATAAAAAACATCACAGAACTTCACAACCTGTTAGGCAAGTCGGAGAGGGCCTATTTCTGTGGGATGGCACCAGCTATGCTGAAATTTTCACAGAAAAAAAATTAAGCCCAAGTTCCTCACCTTCCCCATAGGCTGCGAATCATACCTCCAGGTTCTTGATTTTTGGCATCTCTTGTGTGTTCTATTATCTCTATTGTATTTTGGTGATGAAAGAGCAGGAAGACTTCTGCATGAATAGTGCTAGTAGAAGTTACACATCATTAGACTGAGAAGAATTCTAGGCCATCTTCTCAACTTTCCACCCCAACGTTACTTCCTTTTTGCTGATGATGCTGGCCTGAGTGCCATCTTGTGTCATTGACAGCTTCTCCACTTTTTCCTCCCATAAATATGGAACAGTATGGTTGATATTTCTGACACAGAAAGCCGCTTCATATTTACTGCCATGAAGGATCCACTACAAGATAAAAAAAAAAAAAAAAAAAAAAAAAAAAAAGCTGGGAACACAATAGAATGGAACTAAATTGAGATGAAACAACAAAAACGATTGAGAGGATGCAGCTATGATGAGAAGAAAGTGCAGTTTCATCTCAGTGACAGTTAGAGAAAGCATTTAACAACTCAAATGAGAACACAATAACTTACTGGATGCCAGTGGTAAAGATGTAAATAAAATATAGTCAATAGATCAGAGAACAACTGTGCCAAAAACAGTAAAAGAGGAAATGTGGCAAAGTACACCTAGAAGCTTAAAACTTGGAGGATTGCATTTGCTGTGGTAGAATGGTTTCATCATCACTGTATGTTTTTGCCATGATTACTTGGTCTGGTTGCAACACTTTAATTCAACACTGCATAAAAATATCACAGGCAAGTACAAAGAGAGTGTAGAAAGAAAAGAGAAATTGTGCACGTTAATGGAGAAAGAGCTTGCTCAACAATTTCTACCATGGGTACTTTCTTCATGGGAAGGAAGATCTTGAGGAATGATCTGAAGTGATCAGGTTGCTGTGTTTTCATCACTTGCTTCTTATCCACTGAGCTGTAGTAGGTGCAAGTGCATTAATACTGTTTGTCCTGCCCCATTGCATGTGTAAAACCTGTTTGGTTAGAACACCCTAACTGGTATTTTGACATATGTATATTTTGCTGGCAGTTGGGATGGCTACTTAGTTATTGTAATTCAGGCAATAGACAGAAGATCCTTAAGTTGTAGTGCCTTAATGCTGGAATGACTGGTGTAAGACTGGCTGCAAGATTGGGAAATCAAAAGGTTTTCTCTTTCAGACTGAATTGTTAGTAACAAAGACAATTTCAGACAATTGTTAATAATAAAGAATTTTTCAATCATAGCCCTTTGTTACTTTTTTCTTCCCTAAGTATAACTTCCAGCATTGCCTGCATAATAAGCCTTATTTTAGGAAAACACTGTATTTTCTTTCAGATACAATGAAGATTATTCACCAAGCTCACAAATCTAAGGTATGGCTATCTGCTGCTTTCTTCCTTTTTACATGTTTTAATGCACGCAGACCTCTGCACTGTAAAACAGGACTGGAACAAAGACAGTAAATTCTTATCTTTGTGTTCCTGTTCTCTAATTTGTAGACTGGTGATCTAGTAGTGAGTTTGGAAGATGATGACAAACTGATTTTGAAAGAAGACAGCACACTGAAAGCAGCTGGAGTAGGTATGAGGACACTTATATTGACTGAAGGTGCTGTTCATTGTGGTTGTCATTAAACTGATAACTGGCTGATTGTTTGGATAGCCTGCTGAAAAGTAAATGGTATTCCTGATGCTCTTTACACTACTTGATAATTATTCTGGGAAGAAGGCAGGATAATATACATTCAAATCATTGAACTGAGGGCAGTGGGTATCTGCACTCCAAACGTTCAGAATACAAATTGTGATTTTAGAAGGTATGCTTATAATTCTGCAGAGAGCAATTTTAAATGATTGGCAGATAGGTTATTAGTACCATGCCTGCTTAGTCTTACCAGTAACATTTAAACTGATGTTTTGGTTAGTAATGTAAGTAGTGGAACCAATATGGAATAATGAAACAAGATTAGATTTGTTTTAGTGTGCAACGTACAGTTCTTGATAGTCAGATTGCATGGAAAAGCTCAAGTAATGTCATTTAGAGAATGTGCTGAACGTAGCATGAAGTTGAAGCTTGACCTGATTTCTCACATTTTGACAGGGGATTGCATATAGGGCATGTCATTTGGTAATAATGTAAAGAAATGTCTGTCATGATGAAATTGATGGTCCCTGGATGTCCTTTGGGCTTCTCATAAATGTGGCTGAATGGCTTTGTGGCAGCAGGGCACTTCAGGGAACGTAGTCACATTCCACCTTGATATGGACACACACTCATTTGATTGTGCTTTGCCTAGCTGTGGTGCATAACTCCCTGCACTCTAAGTGCAGAGGTGTCAAAGAAAGCTCCCTCCCGCTCCTGAAGTCCTCTGATTGCTTCCCAGAAATAATACATGTATTTTTTTCCTTATGGGTTTCTTGGCTCTTTTGTCTCATTTAGTGTGAAAGGTTTCAAAAAGTAGAGCTTCTGCCATTTGGCCATTTACTTTTTGATGACATGGGGGGAAGGGGTTTCTTCATTGCTTTTCTCTGGGATGTACCACAGCTGCCTCAGTATGCCTTTCCCAAAAGTCATTGTCATCTTTGGCTTTTTTTAAACTAACCCAGAGCTTTTCAGATAGGAGAAAAGTAATTCCTCAGGAAGGAGGATTATTGGCACTCAAGCCTTATAGATTTGTAGTTTAGCTAGCAGAAGCTTCATTTAAGCATGATTCTCGTCTACCTAAGATGCAAAAGGCAATAACAGCTCAGAAGAGAGACTGGTGACAGCACTGAGTGTTACACTGGAGCTGGTAGTATCCAGAGCTGTCCACATTCAAGAAGGCATTAACAAATATTTGTACACATCTTTGCAACTGAGATTGTAGCTACAGTGCTGAAATGGTTCAATGTGATCTCAAAACAAGTATCAGAACATTGAGGCTAGAGAAGAGCCGACTGCTCTGTGCATATGTATAAAGAGTTTGGTGGCTTATTAAGAGAAGGAAACAATTTAGGGTATTCTACAATTTTGATATGTTCCAGCATTTATTGACCAGAAAATTAGCCAAGTTAGGCATGGGGTCTTTGTAGTGAAATCTTGTAGCAATCCTTCCATGAGAAGTGGAAGATGGGAAATCAACAAAGTGAAGCATGATAGCAAGTACCATTAATTATCATTTTGTACACTTACAGCAGAAAGACTTGAAACCTCCTATGGGCATATTATGGCTTTTTCCATTATTTAGTCTGGATAAGATTTTCTAGAATAAAACAATTTCTGTTAGAAAACCTGGGAAATTTGGAGACTGGCAGATGTTTTTTTCTAAGCTGCATTTGATCATCTTTGACACTTAACAGGGTTAGGTTAGGAAATTGTAAGTTTGAGGACATTAGATAGGTATCCTTGTAAAAGCCTCTGTGGTTGTGGTTATTGTTACAGCTATGATCTAGTCAGCAAAGTTAGTGCTCTTTTTTTGAAGTAGGGTATATGTAAATAAAGCATTCAGGATTCATTGCTAACAGTCTTGTTTGTTTTCTAGTTGAGATTCTAAAACCCCTTCTGCTATTTTCCCCCCCCCCCCCCCCCCCCTTTTTTTTTTTTAAACAAGACAAGCAGTCTTCATTAACTTCAGGTTTAATTTGAAAAATGAGCGTGGAACTTATTGGCTCAGCACCTTAAAGAAGTCCATGTTTAATAATTGTGAAGGCTTTCCATCAGATTTGTCTCTGTTCTGAATTAGTAATGTTGCTGACTTATTGTTTTATAAGAGGAAGTCCTTGACCTACTGGGTTGAAAGAATTGTGACTGCTCTGAACCTTTGTGGGTCCTTTAGCTCTGCCATATCCCCTGTGAATAATTAGAGGTATTTGAAGGTATTGCTGGAGAAGCCAATTTGTGTCTTTCACTTTGCATATTGTTGAAGCCTCATGAATTAATCATCAGCAGGGCAAAAAATTAACTTCTTCAGACACATATTTTGATGGGTCATAAGGGAGAGCGTAAAGTGATCTGTAAAATATTCTACTGATCCTCTAAGTATTAGATTATTATACCTACAGGCTAATTTCATGGAAGAAAATAGTTTCTTTTTCTTCCCTAAAAGACAAATGCACAAAAAAGAGAAAGTTACACTTCATTATTTTTCTGGCATTTGAAGGCATTAGAAATGCAATCACTTAATTCGCTGAATGCAAAACAGACAATTCTGTAGCCTACATTAAACAAATCTTGAGGAATCTTGTTTATGTGCTTGTATGTATTCAGGTTCTTGTTCTTCTAACACAAGAAAGCTGTGCATTTAGTACTGGATCTCTTCAGTAAAAATATGAGGTGGTGGGAGGAAGGAAGTGTTTGGTGATTTATAATTGGCTTTGACCAACAAGTCATCAGTCGTCTTCTAAGGCTCCAAATAGCTGCTTGTTGTTTGTGGCGGTTCATTACCTGGTGTGCTAAATCTTTAATTTTTTTATTTGTTCTAGCAAATGAGACCGAATTAGCATTCTTCTGTGAGGAAGATTACAGAAACTACAAAGCTAATCCTGTTTCGGCCTGGTGAAGATCCCAAGAGATTGTTTTGTTTTCCCATACTTGTTGTAAATCTTCCTTGCCCTGCTTAATGACTTTTTCTTTAAAAGATCAATAAATCCTTGAGGATTGCTTTGCAAACAGTGCAATTCCCTTCCTATAGAAATTAATTTCTGCCAATATGCTGAGACTTAGAGAGGGAAGGCTGGGGGACGTGCATGGGTTTTTTGCCTCCTTCCTCTCACATTTCTTTTCCCTTTGCTTTTCTTTCACAATGGAGGCAGTGCAAATGCTCTGACCTGTGGCACACATTCCCAGTACGATCCTGCAGTATTATGTCAGCTTCATATTGAGAATATACACCACACAGTAAAAACCCCTCTCAGTAGTAACTCGTAATGAAAACTGAATGTTTTTGTGTCTGTTTCAGAGAGCTTGACAAGAGAAACTCTGTATTTTAAGTAACAGATTTACTCCACTCACTTTGTTTAGGTTCTTTTGTTTGAATGGTGCAGACTGGCAAGTGTTTCAGGCTCTCTGCTGGTGAAAGCTTTTCTTTATACTTCCTTCCAGCCCTCCTTAGCATGCTGAAACAGAAAATAACTGTTTAGAGGCTTTTGTATTCCAGGACAAGCTTGCTTGTTACTACACTGCTTTATGAGAATACCTTCTCATCCAAGGTAGAAACCAGAGTTACGCCAGGGCTTCACTGTGCAGAAATAGGAGTTGGGCATTGTTACAAGTAGTCTCAAGGATCAAGGTTTCAGTTTTAAGAATAAAACCCAAGTGATTGCATTTTTTGCAAGGAGAGGCCCAGTCTGACAACAGATGGGATTGATTCTTTCCTGCTTTCCAAGCACCAAATGCTCTGTTGCTATCTGGTAGTTCTTGGTAATTCCAGACTTTCCTGGAATTAACCAAATTAAGAACAACAAATTAAGAACAAGAAGAAAGAAGCAATCATTTATCTAGTTTAGAAAGACAGTTATAAAACTGCTTTCTAGGGGCTTGCCAAGTTGGGACTGTGTCTTTAAGCCTTTCTTCACTGAAATAGAAATGATTCTGGCTCTCTGCCTTTGTTCTGCTAAATCAAATGAGATCTTGTGCAATTGCTTTAGGCCCATACGTCTACCCTCAGTTCTGGGTCAGAGCTGACAGCACCATTTCCACTAGAGACTCTCCAAAGAGGTAAACTTACAGTTTCCTAGAACATTGATTGTTAATTTTTTATTGGCATGATAGTGAAAACAGATGTATGATTTCCAAAGCTTCTAAATAAAAGTTCTTTTTGCCTTAGATGTAGGGCTAATGCATTGTTCCCACCTCATTTTCTCTATCCTTCCTGACAACTCTGTGGCTTAAACTGGAGACCTTTCAGGTAGCTACTATTAGTTACATTAAAGCAATGGAAAGTGCAACAAGACAGCAGAGCAACAGGATCCCAGATCGCAGCAAGTAACAGTGCACTCAGACACGACAGCAGGGGGAACAGAAAATAAAAGAAGCTGCTTACCTTCAGAAGGCCTGTAAGGTCCTCAAGCAGGCAGGGATCTTCAGACAAAATGTCCTTATCCTTCCCCCTGCCAACCTTTAAATGATGTCTGGGAAGGGATGGAGCCAGGACCCACCCCTTCCACTCACTCAGGTACATTGCATGCATCTGAGTTCCCCTGGGTTGGCCCTGCCTTCCCACCAGGTGCTCAATCACTGGTTCAGGCTGTGACTTAGCATTTCCACTAACCAACAGTGTTGCTTCAAACAGTGTTATTCTTCTGTGAAAGAGGTCTGCTATTAAAAAGGAGATAGTGTATTTATCTTGTAAGCACACCTATGTTACTGTGTTCTCTTGACATCTAAATGCTGATGTGCATGCTCTGATGAATTTACGGAAAAAGTTTAACACATCCATCATCTTTCAGTCCAAGCCTCTTTCTTTTGCTGGTCCCTGCTCCCCTAATGAGGTTTGATCTGACAGATTTACAGTATTGACTGTAGCTGTGTGGGAAGTAGATGGCATACCAGAGAAAGCAGTGTCGTGGACTGTTGTACCACGGCATCTCGATGATAGCTTTCAGCATGTCCAGGCTCACTGAGTGAATATTGCCACTCTTTGCTTCTGTTGTGGGAATTCTAATTTGGTCTCCAACCCTCTCAAACAGATTTGGATTGGTTTTGTGATCCCTTCTCTTTAAAGAACTGATGTTTGAAAGAAATGTCAATGTCCTTTCTGTAGTTACAGCTTGTACAGTACAGGAGTTCAGTGTGTCACTGAGCATGTTGCAGTGAAGGAGCAATTCTACAACATCAGCAAGAAAACTGTAAATGTCTTAATGCAAACGAAGAATTGTGTCTGTTGCTCTAGATGAGTTTCTCTTTCCAAAGGAAGAGTTAAAGCAGTGCTCACTGAGCTCTGTTCTCCCTGGCAGTGGCACTTCACTGGCTCCTTTCTGCAGCAGCACAGTAGAGCCTTTTGTAATGTTGTCCATGACCATACTTGTAATCTGGATTCTTCCTGAAGTGAGTTTCTATTTTTTTTAATAATACTTTTTACAAAACAAACAAACAAACAAAACCAAAATACCCTCAAGCCACCACGAAACCATAGATAATAACAGAGAACTTTTAAAGATAGATTCTGTTCCAACACTTTGATTGGGATATGGTGTAGCAATGCGTGTTTCAAAATTGGTTTGATTCCAAGATTGTTGTACACTGAATGAAATCTGGGAACATGGGCTAATAAATTACTGAAGTCTGAGATGTGTTGTTATGAAATCCTCTGTATGTTAAAGGAAACCACCCACATAGTTGATACCAAACTTCGTTAACCTGGCAGAAGGCCATAAACAGTGTTAGTTCACAATAACTGTTGATAAAAGGTGACTTCTCCTCAATGTATAGTGGGATAGATCGTATAATTTTACTCTTATTCTTTGACATTGTGGGGTTAATAAGGATTCATTTCACTATGTGACATCCTTGGAACATTTCACCACCCTTATTATGAACAAAAAGAGCAGTATCCAGGGTGGATGCTGAACTAAGAGGCATCTTCTCCTTGGTTATAGAAATGTAGCAGGGAAAGGTGGTCAAACTGGGAGTTGGGGAGTTGGGGAACTACCATGCTTCTCAGAGAATGAAAACTGCTTCAGAGATTGGAGTTTGGTTAGGCATGGATGAATAGCTGCTAAAGGAGAAGAAATGGTGAAAGGAATTACCATGAGGAGGGATAAGAGGTATTTGTGAGTGAGTAGACACAGAAAATCTTGTATGTACAGCTCTAGTGGCTTATATATGCCACTGGAATAGTGCTGATTTTTATACCAGTAAGGGTATGAAAATGGTGTTTTTATATCGTTATGCATTTCAATCATTTTTTAGAATTGAATGCAGAAATGGATGTATGATGTGTGCTGTTTTTTTCTGGCTCTGATATATTTCTGCATGCTGCTGCTTTGGTGTAGTTTTCTGTCTGCATATATTCAAGTTGCTCCTTGAAGATGCAAGAGTTAAGAACTTGGCACAGCTGAATGAAATGCTGCCAGTGACACAGAAGAGTCCTCAGAGATCACCACCATTAAAGTTGTGCAACTGCTTTATCTGATGAAAACGTTCTCAGAGTTGATCCAGAGATAAGCTGTAAGCTGTGATGTTTCTCTTTCATTCTGAGTATTCAGCACATCCCCATGGATCGTTCACTTAAAAATGAACTTGCAGGTCACAGTGCATCATTTGACACAGTGATGACAGGACATTTGTGGACTCTGTCCTTGGGAGCTAAGAAATCTTGAATGTTCAAAGAACAAGAATGAGAAAACAGAACATCTGATACTCATTCTTGGTCTCATTAGACTGATATGATCTTGGCTTTAGAGGCACTGGCAGCTGGCTGGAGGCATTAAAAATGCTTAAGGCAACTTGCACACTTCTGCTTATTGAACAGTTTGTTGGACTGAGCTCAGCCTTGCTGTCTGGCACCACTTGGCACCACATCTTCCTTCCAGGATTTCCTTCTCATAGTAGTACAGGGCAAGGATTTGCAAATGAGTAATGAATCAACCAAATATGACCAGTAGATCATTTTGCCACTCTTCATGTTAAGAAGGCACTGATTTTTTTCCTGCTATTTACTGTCTTACCACGATGTTGGAGAAGCAGACACACTTTGTTTTTTTCCCTGCCACATCCCCTTCCTTTGTGCTGCCATCTCTGCTTATTTACAGAATGTTAGTGGTTTAGTGCTATGCAATAGCAGTGTTTTCTGTGGAAGTGAATGTCCATTTTAAAATTAGTGAAGGAATATCCTTTGAAATAAAGAAAAGTCCTTCTCTATGGTGTAGCCAGTTGTGCACAACAAAGGATCTTTTGTTGCTTTACAAAAGGACTCACACAGGACAGCACAGTCCACTGGTCAGTGAAAACAAAAATGTTTTTATTATAATGCTTTGTATCTTAGAAGGAGACAGGAGAGAGGTTGCATAAGAGATGCAAAACTCCAGTGAAAACCCAGGAGCTATTGCCATAAACCATCTCTGGCTACAGGGAAAGCCACCAGATGTCAGCACAGCCTGTTTTTTCATTCTCCAGAACCTGTGTAAGACAAGAGATAGTGAATATTTAGGAATAGTGCTTATCTATGAATTAGTTTAGCCTGCAAAAGTCTGTGCTAGGGCTCGGGTGATGAAAGCTGAGACTTCCCTTGCGGAAAGTGTTTCTTTTTATATTAAAATCAAAGAGCGGCAAATTGAACTGGTATCAGTGCTTAAATTCCTCTTGTTAGAGAGCATCCTTTGCAGAGCTGGTTCCAGCGTGTCTAAATCTTTGCATGCTGTGAGGAGGCATTTGCTGAACGTTCATTTGAGGAATTGTCTGGAAAACATCAGCGTTAATTTGCTGAGGTTTTGTAAAGTAAACTTTAAATATGCCTTTTTTTTTAAACACAAGGAAAACCACCCGGAACAGACACATGCAAAACAGAGCAAAAAATCTTCAGCAACACAGCTTAAGTACACAACAAATGCGTCCTCCATGCTTCTGACTCTAAGCTCCTAGTATTCCTTGTAGGGCAAGGGAGGAAGAGAACTTCACGCTGTGCCATGCTTTCTGTGCTGTGATGAGCTGAGATGGGAGATGAGTTTTGGAGCCCAAACCCAAGCACTGTGCAGAGCTTTATGCTTTGAATGATTGAAGCGTACATAGATGCTGCCTGGTTGCAAGGGTGCCTGCTGTGTGTGCGGTGCAGGGTGCCTGGGAGGTGTTGTTCCCACTTCTCCTCCTGCACAGCACCTGGTTGTGCTTTGCTGAGAGCTCCCCTTGAAGCCTGGCAGATGGCTGAGAGCAGAGGTGGGTGGTGTTTGGGCTGGTGATGCAGCAGGGGGCAAGAATGGAGCATAAAACTCGTGTCTGCCTGTAGGTAGGATATTTCTGGTCAGATAATGGATTGTATTTTTTGTTTGCTGACTTCCTCTTTCTCTGCTAGCAATGGGTTGTTCTCTTCATCGTAGGCCAAAAGCAAGCCAGAAGTGAGAGTTTCTGTGGGTGGTGAACACATTCAAGAGCTCAGTATGACAGTGTAGGTTAAGAATAGAATTTATCTGTGTGTCCAATTCTGCCCTCTGGCAGGTGACACAGTGCTGTGTACTAGGAATGTCAGCAAGGACTGCAAGAGCACGTCTGTCTACTCTCATTTCACATCACAGGAAGGTTTAATTCTGCTTTCCAGAGAGTCAGCAGGGCCAACGACCCAGCATAAGAAATCATGTTCAGAGTGTGTTACTTTTCTCTTTGTCTTTTCTAAGCTTCAAACATAATCTTTAAGGCCAGTTTGGGAAGCCTCTTTTCTTTTATGGATCGAGGTGATTTAAGTGGAAGGTATGGCAGCAATCTGTTTTAGACCGGACTTTGAGGTCACACCTTTGGCTCTGTGCATGCATTTGGCATCCACCCTACTGGAGCACATCTGTTGCTTTTAGAGTCAAAGCGGCAATCTAGAAGTGGCAGCCTCATATCCTAACAGTTTTATGGCAATTTCTCCATGTTTCCCTATCCCCAAATGGAAGGAACCTGGCCTTCCAGAAAGCAGGCTTGAATCTCACACAGTATCTTTGGTTTTGAGACAGCTATGTAAAAGCAGCCTTCTGGTTGTGGATAGCTCTGTAAGCCAGCAGGCTGGCATGCAGCACCAGCAGCCAAAGCTAGCTAATTGCAGATCACGTACGGGAAACAGATAACAAGAATAACTAACCAGCTGAACAGCAGCTGTGGTAGATCTCCCACTGCTGAGGTTTCTAAATCTAAAGCAGATTATCTTTCTAGGGGAATGGCTGTAGTTCCACTTCAAGTCTTTGAAAGATTCCTCTAATACTGTGGCTTGTATTATGTGATCCTTCTGCCTGGCTGTACACAAGTTATTTTTAGGCTTTGAATAAGAAACTCCTTTGCACGCTCTGCCAACAAGAGCTGTCTCTTGTCACAGATGGCACCTTCCTGCTGTGCACTGCCCGCTCAGCTTTAGAGTGGGCCTGACTGCCTGTGCAGAAATTCTCAAAAACTGATGCTTCTTATTAAGGTACAGTAAACAGGTGAAAGAAAATTGCCCCCTTCTAACAAATCTCAAAGCTGAAGCACCATCTGCTGATCCCATTAGCTCAGTGCAGGTCATTTTGAGCTCAGGGATTTACCAGTCTTTTGCCGCTGCTCAGAGCAGCTCATGCAGGGATGCCAGCCATCTTGGAGATCCTGGAGGAAATACATTGTACAGAGGTGCTTAAGCAGCTGCATTCCTCTAAAGATTTAGCTGGAGTTTGATATATCACTTTGTAAGTAAATCCCTGAAGAGCAAGAAACCAATTGCACTGTTAAAAGCCTTGCATTATAAACCAGAAGGAGTGAGGGAGCTGTACCTGCAGAGGTTAAGCTTTGCACAAGAATTTAAATGAACTCATTAAAATCAACTTACAAATTAGCTCATTAAAATGCAATGCTGCAGATCCAGAAGTTGGTTGATCTGGCGTCCCACTTCTGTGAGGAAGTGATTTAAGAAACGGAGAACAAAATGATAGTGTTAAAACTCCTTTTTTTCTTTCCAGTCCCATAAACCTCATTGGGATCTCCCTCTTCCTTGAACTCTTTATCAACGGCACTTTCAGTTTACTGAATGAAGCTATTTTTGTTCCAGTGCTGCAATTGCTGTGTAATACCTCTAGCCTTGTGTCTGTATGCACTTGTGGCCTCCCATGTGCATAGCAGCTCTGTAATACAGACCTTGGCACGCTGGGTCACAGCAAGGATCATCTTCACTTAGCTTGATAGCAAGAACCTACCTGCTGGTGTGTTTTATCTCTGGGTTGTTACACTGCACATACTCCCCTTACTCTCTGCCATTGAAATAATGGTGTTGTTTAGTTGGAGGGTGTGAAAATATCCAAATGAGTTCAGTTTTATAGATTTATTCAGAATATCTTTTATGTAACTATAGAGGTCAGTAAAACCAGCCTTACAGCTCTTCATTGGTTCTTACAAATCACAGAAGCATACTGTAGGCAATACAGAAAATAAAAATATAAGAATTTACATTCCAGCTACATACTCTGCAATAATATATACGTTTGTGTGTGTGCATATATGCAGAGAATTTCTAAGTATAAAAACAATTCATTGAGAAATTTTAAGCTAACCATACTGAATCCCCTCTCCACAAAATTGTGTAGGGAAATGAGCATTCAAAACCACCTCAAATTACTTTTCAGTATTCTGGAATCAGAATAAATGATCCAAACTCCCATGTCAAAGGTTTTAGAGACCAGATGTGTACAGAGGGCACCATCTGAAATGTGGTTCTGTGTTTAGAGGAATTGGTTTCAGTCTTCAAAAGATACAGTGACTGGCTGGCCAGTATGTTGGCACAGGCATTACCTGGAGCAGTGTGATGGATCTTTATATAGATGCTGTGGGGATGTTGAGTTGGCTCGTGTTACAGGTTGGCATCAAACTGGAAAGAACTGTGCTGCTTCATGAGTATATCGAGTGCCCAGCTCTACTTCTGCTTGTGAAAATTGTCCCTTTGCCATCAATAGGAAGGACATGTGGGTGTGAAAGTTGTGTATATAAAGCTAAAGTGCAACCCTTGTTCTGCTGGGCAAAATGGTGAGTCTTTAGCGTTGAAGCATCCCACAATGAAATCACATCTTCCCCCTTGAATACAAAGCCTGCAAGCCTGTGTAATGCTTGTTCCTTCCTGTTCTATGTTTGGCCAACAGGCAGTTGTCTTGCTTGACCTAAGGATGTGAAAAGCTTAGCTTAAAAAAAAAAAAAGACATTAGAATACTTTATTGTAAACATAAAATGTGCCTACTTGTGCTTTTATGTTGACTTTACTTGATGAAAGCAGAAGTTTGCTGAATCCCATTTTCCCTCAAGCATGAGTTATGTTGGAGTGGGTGGAATTGTACTCATGTGGAAGTGCATCAAATCCATGTGGAAACTTAGCCTACCATTCATCCACAACTAAATTGTGCTGCACAATCAATCTGCTTGGTGAGTGATTTGATGAGATGCTGATCTGGGTGAGGCTGCGGAGGTGGACGGGGAAACCTGAATAACAGCAGCTTTCTGAAAGGGACACTTTCACAGTGCCCCTTCCCTTTGGTGTTGCAAAAAAAAAAAAACAAACCAACAATCAGCTGATTATGCAAACTTGGCATTACCCTCAATGTTGATTTCCTTTTTCTTAGTGAAAAGAGGAGGTGGTTGGAGACTTTACTGTAAGCCTTATGCAAAACCTAAAACCCCTCGATATCATTACTGGCAGCTTGAGCGCTACTTGCAGAGTATTACACACTGTTGTCATTAAAGGATAAACAGGGAATTCTGAAGTTCCTTTTCCTACAAATCATCCAGTTTACAAGAGCAGTATTGGCTCATAGAAGGGCTTATGTGCACCAAAGTTCATCCACATTTTCCCATTTGTATTAACTGTTAAAAGATGCTTTTTGGTCCCACAAATAAAACCTAATTGATGACATTTTTCAAAGCAAAGCTGAATGCTGAGCGGTGCCTTTTACTTAACTGCAAGGAAATTAGGCTATCCCACCCACGTCGGTGTGTCTAGTCTTGCTGAGGTAGTCTTCTTTGTGTCATCTCAATTGCTTGCTTTTAAGTGAGCTTTTGCAAATGGCTGCCCATTCTCTATATGGGTGACTTGGATCTCCAAAATCTAAATAATTATTCTGATAAAGAGCAAGAGCTTGAAGGAACAGAAAGTAAAAGGTAGCAAAGGAAAGTAGGGCAGAATTCTTGCCCTGGACCTCATCCAAAGTGTGTGTGAAGTCAGAAGAAAAGCATTTGATACATGCTTTGTGGTCTAGTAAGTGACTTTCTAAGGTGCAAGGCAGTGCAGGATGGTGCCCCACATGCGCAATTCCTGTATTCTCATGCTGTGATCAAGACTCACCAGTCTCTTTGCAAGACAGTTCAAAGACCTTATCACTGCTGGTGGAGCCGGTAGTGTTAGAGGTGCTGTTTTGTTATCTAAGCACACATGTTCAGGTGACAATGATTTCTAAGAGCTTCAAACTATTATTTGATGTAGGCCTTTGGTTTTCTTTGTGAAATGGCACATTTTTCTTTTTCACCCTATTTCCACCAAATACTGCCTAAAATGGATTTAGTAAAACAGAGAACATGCAGCAGCAGTTGTTGTCTCAGAGACAGCAGTGCAGACAGGAAGTGTGGGTGTTAGGGACATTCCTCTCTCCAAAAGCTTTCACTCTGATAGCAAAGATGGTTTATTTCAGCAGCCTATAAATGTGCACCAGGTAGAGCCTACAGGTCCAGATCTGCTGTCTGTATTTGAGAAAGCAGATACTTGGATTTGCTGTCAGGTTTGGATACCTTTACTAAAATGTGCAGACACTACATAAGAGGGATATTGTTCTGCTTATGTGGTTACTTCATTAAAGAGACCAAAGCCAGGGACAAGTTGTGTTTCTAAAGCTCACTGCTTAGGTTGATCCAGATGCTCAAGAAGCAGGATGTCTTTGCCATCAAAAAGCCCAGAAAATCTGTGCTTCTTCATATTTAAAAAAAAAAAAAAAAAAAAAAGAACAAAAACATTGACATTCATGAGAGTAGATAATAAGGAAGCAACAGAGAAGCACTGCTGTAGATCTGCCAACTAGCATCCCCAGTGACAGAATCCATCACTTCTCCCTGTATATTGGTGTTGCTAGCTCAGCTTTCACAGTGATTTTTAAGGCAATATTTGTCGTAGCAAACCAGCAATATAATTTAAATACCACTGCCTAAACTACTTTCATAGTAGCCCATTTTCTAAAGTCACCAGATTTTATTATTTACCCACAATATAATTATACTAAAACATACATACATTTAAGAAAAAGGAACACCTTTATAGAAATGTTGATAGTGCTTTGAAATCCTCTGTCACCCCTGAGGTTCCATCAGACGTTGCTAGAGGTCTCCCCACTTGAATACTCCCCTGTTGCACTGGGCAGGACAAACTTGACATACCTCCCCTTCTCCCAGCCTCTTCTGATTCGCACGAGTCTCTGCTGAATGCAGGGCAAACTGAAGGCAACTTTTGCTAGGATCACAGTACATGGGACAAGCAGCGTGAGAGTGTAGGTGGGAGGCAGGTAGAACTTGTATTGGTTCTCATCAAAGGCCCTTGACCAGCCATATGTGAGGGTGTGCAGGGTGCTGATGACCAAGGCAATAAATCCCAGCGTAGACTAAAAGGAAGAGAAACACAAAGCAGTCAGCAGACCTCATGCCTGTTTTCCCCTGTAAGAATATGCAGCACAGAGAAAGCAGTGAATATTCCTGTGCCTCTCTGATAGAATAAAATGCAACTGCAAACCAGCTGTCACCTACAGGAAAACTGCAGTGTGCCAAGATGAGGATATACAATGGACTAAGTCCTTGGAATGGGGAGTCAGGAGCCCTTTGTCCATTGAGGGAGGCAGCAAGGATGTAGCCTTGCTCTGCAGACCAGAATGTGCCCCATATTCAGCTGAGACTGTGGCTCCCAAGCATCCATAGAGACAACATTTTGCCTGAATATTCCAAGAATGCTGAAGATTGTTTTCAAGGAGGATTTTAAACTACAGTCCCCTTGCTGGTGGTTTCCTACCTGCCTTAGAGGTGGGGGCTCTGAGCTCATCACAGGCACAATCCCTCCTCAAGGGCCACCAGCTGTATTTTCAATGAAAAGTATGCGTGTAGTACATGATCATCCACATTGACAACTGGACAACTACTTCCTTCAGAACATCTCTTCTTGGTTTTGATGGCTGACAAACCATTTTAAAACCCAGATAACTTTTTAATGTGTACTGTATCATTAACAACAAACTAGATCAAGGCTCCTCTACTCTTCAGAGTGAATTACTGAAACAGCTGAGAGGACTGGGCAGACAAGGAAAGATCTCTAAAGTATGCCCCATATCTATGCACTTCACTTTTACAGCTCCTCTCCAGCCATCATGAGGGTGTCTGTAAGCCCTGCCAAGTTAGAGAGCTCTTGTCTCTGTGTTGCACTTCAAGGTCATTCCCAGAGCCACCAACAGCCCCCTCAGCTGAAGCTCACATCCACCTGAAAGCCACATCTGATTCCTCAGCCCAAAGCAAGCTCAAATGGGGTCAAAATTTACTTCACTTGGCAAATGAAGGTGTTTGCTGGGATACACCATGCAGCTGAAGATGATAATGCTCTTAACAGTGGGCACCAACCCATGGCTCACCCATAATTTATCAAATCTTAGCTCCCCTCCAACAGGTAGAACATCCCTAGATGGGAGGAGGCCAAAGGTGCCAGCAGGAGGCTGATCTGCAGAGCACAGCTGTAAGGCAGGGCTGGGGAGAAGGTGAGGAGTGATGGCTGAGGGCAGCAGGTGCTTTTGGCAGTGGGTGCAAGGTGCCTTCAGGTACAGTCCACATGGGGCTCCATGGATGGCAGAGGTGTCAGAGCTAGAGATAATTAGTTTGTTCCTCTACAGTTTCTCTTTCAGCTGCTGCTGGCACCAGGGAAAAGCAGAAGTGGAAATTAGTAGGACAAAAGACGACCGAACATCAGAGCTGTGCAGTGACCCACCTTTGTGCACAGCAGCAGGGCACGCAGAACAAAGAGCTAATTAGCAATAAATGTGCAGGTGAGCAGATGGCAGCTGGACACAGTGCTGGCAGCTCCACAGAGCAGAGCAATGACACAAACCAGGGCTCCCTGTGGTCAGCAGGGCTTTTACACTGTCACAGCATGGGGAATGCAGGGCTGCTGCCAAGATAAGGTGGTAAAGCCCCCTGAGAGATGGCTCTATGAAGATGGGATCTTTCTAATGCAGGTTTAGCTTGCACTGCCCATTCTGGATTGATTTTTCTCTCTCCCACCTCTCTTCAGTGTCTAGGAGATGTGTTGCAATGCATCAGTGAAGGTGACTCTGTCATTTATAAATGCCTGTGCAGCATCCAAGGCAAAAGGCACCTTCCTAACACATTCAGGTTTCTGACTTCTGCTGCCATTAGTCCTGTAGAGTTGTTAACTGTGTGGAAGCTGGCTCTCACTTCATCATCAGGAGGGCTACAGGCACCTGATGACAGATTCTTTGCATCCTGCAGTATGTGAGCTAAGAAGGAAATCAGGTCAACCCAACCTTCAAATTCCAAGAGGATTTTTCAGGGTGGAGAGATAAAAGGAATCATACGCATTTTCACTTCTCCACCAATTAGATTTGATTTGTAAGTCACTAGGGAACATTAAGAATCTCCCTTGTAAGTTGAATTGCATCTGAATTGTTCCTGTTATCTAGTGCCTAGATCCTGTATATTTTCTATTAGTCAAAACTGGATATGGAGGGAAACTGTCTATTCAACCCAGCTGTATTTGCTAGCTGAACAACAACCCAAGTGTTATTTTTGGCCTGTTAAGCAACAGATGTGTATTTTAAGATAATGGCAGTACCCCATGGTGCTGAGAGGCACCCACAGTGTTGTTGGAAAGTGCGAGGCATGGGAAACTCCAGGTAAGGAGTGGATCAGAGTGGTTCCTGGCTTTTAGCAAGCCCCAGCCCTCACTCAAACGTGAGTGCAACCCCTCTCAAACACAGCAGCCACCTCAACAGAAATGGCAGTAAATGGCTGCAGCTTTGGGAAGATACTCAGCAGGGACTGCTGTGCTTTGTATTTTCCAGATCTTTCCTTTTTCACAACTAGCCACAGTGCCTCTCATGCACCGTAGTCGGTTCAAGTGTCAGACATCCCCAGGGCTTGAGAGTACAGCCTTGTTCTTCACCCCTTGTATTTACATTACAGTGTCACTGTGCATTAATTTAGGGAGAGTTGAGTTGCTGTATGTGAATGTTACCCTCTAGCACCTGGGAACAGCAGATATATCTGCTACTCATTTCCTCAAGTTGGCATCAACAACTTATTGAAGAAACTCCTCTAAAACATTCCTCATTAAAAAACAAGTAATGCCCGACCTGGAAGCTAACATGACAAAAGCCTCTAATCCTCTCCTCGGGCACATTGCCACTGTCATCAGCAGGGTGTGCTACAATGCCTCTCCCTACATCCACAGAAATAGGTAGGAGTGATTTTTCCATGCTCTAAGCCAGCCAGTGACTGCCTGGGGCAGCCAGGAGCTATTTTGGAGCAGAGCATCAAATACCAGTGCCAGAGTTGACATATCATTGGAAAGACCCAAGGAAAGATGGCAAAGGGCAGAAGAGACAGTTGTGGAATGTGTGCTGGTAGAAGATACCATACATGTTGCATAACACAACAGCAGCACCCACCAGAGAGCTGTCTAGGGAGACAGAGGGAGATGCAGGGAGTTTCAGAGCCACATTCCAGGCTATAAGGAATTATTTCCCTTCATCTCAGATTCCTGGTATGAAATGCCTAAGCCAGGACAGGAGTTTATCCAATGTCCCAGTGGCTGCAGTGCACCCCTGAGATGTGGTGCTGAGAATTAATTTGCTCCTGCTGTCTGTTAAGAAAGAGATTTGAAGCCAGATCTCCCTTCTCCCCAAGGGACAGTCTCTTGAGGTCAGGCTCTCCAGGTGAGGCTTCTTTATGCACTGTAAATAATTACTCAACAGCTCACAGCAAGAGAGGAGAAAAAAAAGAGATGAACTAACTGACTTACTAGTTGGAGATCAGGGCACCTGTGGGAGAGCAGGCTTCAAACTCCTGCTCTAATGAATATTGAATTATTTATGTGCAGCTGAAGAGCTTCAGCAAGGGAGAATGAATGATGGATATCCACCTTTGCACACCCTAACTCTACATACTCCAACCTCTGAGTGTACAGAGGGGCTCTGCAGAGGAGGTATGGCGGGGGGGAAGGGGGGAATCTGTGGGGTTTGTGCGTGCTGGGTGGCACTGCAGCATTACTGGGAGCCTACTGCAAGCTAAGCTGCAGCCATGTAGGAAGCACAGTTAATGATGGGTTTCAGGATTATGTGATATGACAGGTGAGTGTCCTTCAGGAAATTAGGTCTTAAAATGAGCTCTGAAGGTGCAGAGACTACTTGAAGTTTTTTCCTTGCTGTTCCTGTTAACCTGAAGCCCTGCTCTGTATGTATTACTGAGAATGGCAGCCCTTGGGTTGAGGGTTTGGGATCCCTACATGGGTCACTGTGGAGATCTGGCCTCATGAGCCTGGACATCCCTGCAAGTGGAAAGAGGACTCCCAAACCACTAGGAAACCTGAGAGAAAGAAAAGCTATCCAGACACTCCTAACCCATTTTTTAGAAGACATGCCCTTCACTGATCATTCAGATCTGTGTTCTGCACTGGCTGTCCCCATGGGTTATCCATCTGCAGCCTGCTGCAGACTCCCCACAGCATCTCCACAATACAGAAGGCATAGGGAAAAATGATAACAGATAACGAATTCTGAATTACTCAAAAAAAGGTGACGGATACAATCCAGTTAAAGAAAAAAACATTTGCTCACCTTTCCCAAAGATCAGGGCTTACCAAATACTGCAAAATGAGAGATCTCCAGATAGAGATCCTTTCTGTGTGGCAGCCAGCCCTTAAATGAGGCTTAGGAAGGGGTGGAACCTGGTTCCATCCCTTCTGGTTGCACAGGTAGAAGCAATTCACCTGTGCTCCAGAGGCTGGCTGTGTCCCTTTACCAGGTGCTCCATCATTGGTTCAGGCCCTGACTTAGCAATTCACATACAGAAGGGAATAATCCTCTCTTCTCCAAATGTCTGCAAAGTGTTCTACCTTGTATGACTTCAGGAGTGAATGCAGCACTGCTCATGGGCACAATGTGAGGAGGAAAAATCCCAGAGAATTTTGCAGGGGGCATCACACAGGCAAACCCATGCTGGTTCTTCTTAGGATCTCTAGCTAGCACTGTTAAAAGTAGGGTGAGAAAGAAATTCCACCAGCACATTAAAGACTCATTCATGCAAAACTTGCCACTAAGCTCCACGTGGATGCACATGATGCATTACATTTTCCTTTCCCTGAGACACAGCACCCACAGCAGAGCACGCGAGTCCTGCATGACTCCCTGGAAGCACCACTGTCCCACTGCCCTGAGATGTCCTCTATGGTGAGTGGCAGAGTGCCTGTAACACCGGCTGACTGCAGAACCACTCTCGGGCATTGTCACATGTTAACCTTACCTGGATGAAACTGAATTCCCTCCAGTTGAGAGAGTTTGCAATGGATGGAAGTGAGGTGATGGCAAGTAACGACAGCAAGCCCAGGGCAATTATTCCAACAGATATATAAATCTCCATCCTCCAGACTTCCTCCTCTACCCAGATATTCATCTTCTTCTCCATAGCCTGGCATGACAATGAAGTTTTGTTAAAACAGAGCACATAGGAATAGAGGAATTGAATTTTATGTGTATTCACTTTCGTTTTGGAAGAAGATTTCCTGGATGAACACTGGTTCCTGCTGCCACTGGCCTCTGCCTGTGGCAGGTGCCACTGCCATTTTTCCAGTTGGATCAGACCTGCAGCCTGCTGGGAAGAACTGCTTGATGCTCACAGCTCCCATAGCCTGTAACCACAGCAGCAAGCCCCAGAGTTGCATTTGGAAAGATAATTGGAATGAGAAGTCAGTTTAAAGCCATGAAAACAAATACACATGCTTGAATATGCAGTAGTCTCCTAATAACCTTCATTTTAAGTGCATTTAATGGGGGAAATTGTTCATGCTAATGGAAAGGAAGATGGGTTTTATGCTTCATGGCAGAGAACAACATTTAGAACCATCTTCTTTAGCCCATTAAATGGGCTTAATTTACTAAACAAAGATATTGCTAGAAAACAGGACATAGAGGGGAAATGGACACAGGATGCTTGACCGAGATTAATGTGTGACTGTAGCAATTGAAAAGGGGCTGTGCCAGTCTGGAACTGAAATATCTGGTGGATGCTTTGAGCAGGCACTGCTCCCAAAACCAGCTGTCCTGCTCCCAGCTGCCTCCATGCCTCTGTGCTTGGACAAAGTGTTTGGGTGGCTACAGTGAGAAGCACTTGGGAAACATCCCAGCACAGAAAGCAGACAGGTTTGGGGGCAAGTCCTTGATCTGGTTCACCTCTGGGATGCACAGAGCTTCTTGCACCATCCCAGGAGGAGGCAGGGAAGAGCAGCAAGAACAGCAGGGACAAAAGATGGCAGAATCACATTCTTCCGTGGCGCTGCTGAGCTGAATTGCTTGAAGGTGTAGCAATCTCGGGATATAATCTCTGGATAAACACTGCTGAAAGCTTCGATAGGGCAGTAGGGTACTTTCCCATTTCCTTGTTCCCCTAGACTATGGCCTAGACTTCAGCATTGTTTTGTTACAGCACTGGAAGTGCGCTGTGATGAGGACATACCTCCTACATAAAACAAATCCTTTGGAAAGCAAATGCAAAGGCCATGAAGCCCTCTTACCCAACTTCTGAATGTGCCTGCAAGATCATCACAGGTGCCACCCGAAGGGTGCCAACATTACCTGCTTGACGGCTGTCTCAATCAGCTGGTAGCGGTGGGAGCGGCGCATGGGCAGGCACAGGCTGTACACGGCGTGCAGGGCTGCACAGAAGAAGCTGAGGAGGCCGATCTGCTTTCTGTGTTGCAGCCACTGGTCAAGCCAGTCTGGAAAGCGCCTGTATTTGGTGCCATAGTAGAGCTGCGAGCAGGCTGCCAGCACACCAGGGAGGTAGACCAGAGACAGCATGACGTAGGCCACGCACGGCAGCGTAGTGTTGACCACCTCGACAGGGATCTTATAAAACTTATTCTTCTGCTCCCTGATGTAAGGGTGGATGACCTGTCGCACCAGGTTGTAAGTGAAAAAGCAAAGAAAAAGCCCCAGAGCCAAAAAGATGGGGATTTTCCAGGCTGGCAAAAGGCGCAGGGGAATGTTCTCAATCTCGCAGGCTGAGGACATGCAGCCCATGTCCACAGGGGTGAAGCCCATTACCTGAGCAATTTCTGCCACAGTACGCTTGGCTTCTTGGCTATTGGAGCAGATTAGAACCTGCAATAAATGGAAAGATACATATTGGGCAAAGAGATCAAGTGGTGGGAACGAGCGTGGCAGGAGGGATGCTGCACTAAAGGAAGCCTACATTATCATGGATCATCATGTGTTTTGGCAGACTTTCTGATGGGGATTCTGTGGTTGCCAAAGATCTCTATCCTGGACAGGTTTTCTTTCTTATGCATACCACCAGTTTGCTTTACTGGCTGTGTTTAGATAGAGAGACAATTAAATGATGTTTTTCACTTACACAGTGACTCCAGGGACTATAAGGTATGGAGTAAGCAGTGTATTTCTTTTCTGATCAAAGAAATGTGCAAGCTGTGTGATGGTTTCTGGATGCCAAAACCAGTACTGATGCCCCTTCTCTGTGTGCCTAAGGTCATTTACTGATGTCAGACCTCAGCTGCTGAAACAGTTGAGATGTGGCACATATCAGAAGAAAGCAGTATACCTGCTTATTGCCATCCCTGGCACCAGACTGCAGCGTCCACGCAGAAACCACATTAAAGCCCTTGACCACAGTGCAGGCTGGGAACAGAGAGGCCAAGTATTCAGCGTTGGATTCTTTGTGGTGGTTGATTTCAGTGTTGTTACTGACATCCACTAGGATCTTTCCCGCCAGCACATCAGCCAGGTCACAGAGCGTGGAGTAATGTTCCCTGAAAACCGCCACAAAAATGACATCCGTCTTCTTCACCGCCTCAGCCTGGAAGGTGACCTCTGCTGCAGAAGGGAAGAGGCAGGCTTTGCGCTTTGGGTTGCGGCTGCCCACCACCACCTTGAAGCCAGAGCACACCAGACGGATGGCCAACGAGCGCGCAAAGTCTCCGCTCCCCAGCACGCCGATGGTGCGGCCAGCTGCAGGCACCACGCTGGGATCACCCTCTGTGCTCCTGTGGCCAAGGAGGGGCTTGGCCATGTCTCCTCCAGGCATCCTGCCAGGAAAAAACAAGGGGAAATGCAAGTTCATTGCAAAGCTCTTGCAGAAATTCAGACCACATCTGCAGTCATGAGGAAAATGCTACTTACGACGCATGAATAGAAGTACATGAGGTTTTGGGAAAGAGGGAATTCCCTGATGCCTAACTGTAGATGTACAGCGCTGGGTCCCGTAGCCCAGACTCATCTACTAAACCCACCAGCATGAGTGCAGTAACATCCAGCCACCGTTGGAGGGGGACAAGACATCAACACAGAAATGGTTTTAGGGACAAGTTTCCCCAGTTTGGGCGATCAAACACCCGCACTCAGCCATCCTATGCTGTTCTTACTTGCATCTCATGCTGCAAAGCCAGATCAATTCTCACAGCCGCCAGCAATGGGAACTCTTGGAGCCGTGTAGGACCAGGGCAGATCTTTTGAAAAGCCCTGGTGTCCGTGGGAATCTCTGGGCACACAACTGAGAGAGCTGGGGGTTTCTTTTGATTTGTGGGAGCAGCATCAAAGCAAGGAGTTTGAGGTGGAATTAAAGTGTCCTCCAAGTGGTAAATGAAGAGAGCTGTGGCTTTTGCCTGTTCCAATATTTGGGTCCATTTGTTTCATTTATTCAATGAACATGGAGAACTTCCTTGTGACATTTAAAAAAAAAAAAAAAAGTATTAAAATATGATGGGATTTGCTCATGAATGATCTTGATGAGCTTTACAAACATTAATGAATTTTACCCTGTAACACTCTGCTCTCCATAGCAGATTAGATATTGAGGCCATGAAGAGGCTTTAAGCAAATCAACAAAATGAACAGCATCACACCAGCTGAGCCTGGAGGTCTGGAGAAGCTCAATCAGGGAACTGCCAGGCTGTTCCCATGATGTGTCACCTACAGCTCAAACCTGCTTAAAAAAATGCAGATGGCCAAAGGGACACCAGACTTTTAAAGTGCTCAGGAGTCACACCAGCACACCTGACTTTTGATTTGGGCACACTGGGAGAAATAGTAGTAAAGACCAGAATTAACAGACTCGTGATACATTTGCAAAAGAGACAGTCTTTTGCAGTACAGTCTTGCTTTATAGCTGGCACAGTTCTTTCAAAGTGAGGGTGACCGCTTGGACAAGGTGACCTGGTCACTGGGCTTTGTTTATCATAGGCTTTTGGAAATGCTCTTTATCCAATGCTTTTCTGGGATTGGAGCAATAATGGTGCAAAAGGGAAGGGCACTTCTGCATGAATAGTTACCAATGAGAAACAAAGGGTAAGAATAAGTAATTTTCATAATGGGAATGGGCTGTCATGGGGTTTCCCCACAGATCTGTATTTTTCCAACATGCTCATAAAGGATTTGGGAAAGACAAAGAGAAGATCAAGCTTGGGTGTGATAATTGTTTAGGACAGCCAATCTTTATTGCAAGCAATTTGCAATCCTCATGCAAAGTGCCTGAGCACCAAAACTCACTACTGGCACATGCCAAGGGCTGCGTATGGGCATAAGTGCTATGAGTACACTTTAATGAGCTGTAACTCATATCATGCAGCTTCCTCTCATGGGCTTGGTAAGAGAGAATTACTCAGATTTCACCCTGAAGGTTTCTGCTTCTGCTCCAGATCTGTGGAAGGGCTTGTGTGCACAAAGGCTGACTTTGTTCTGCACCTGTGTCAATGGTCTAGTTCAAGGCTGCTACCCGTGCACACACCCCTGCAGTAAGTATAGGCCATACAGATCTCAGTCGCTGCAAAACAAGGTGAGTATAGCACTGTAAACACATAAATTGAACACAGAACAGAAGCACACAGGTGAGGTTGGAGATGAGATAACTTGAAATTTCCTGAAGTGAGCAGCAAGCCCAGAGGTGGAGCTCAGGTCCATGCCAAGCCTTGTGTCCTCGCCCAGCCAAGCTGAAGAGCCAGGCTGCAAAACCCTGCTGTAAATACTCCAGCTCTGTCTGAAGAGATGTTGGGTTTTCTTTTTTGGCCCCTGCTTATCACGTACTTTATCGAAAACTCGTTGCTTTACTTTTAAGAAACGTCCTTGCTCTGCCTAGGTGTATTCATGCCCACAATTTGTTATGGGGCCCACACTATTGTTTAGCTTAACCACCTCTCCTGCCTACACAACCCTCTGCTTTTCAGCAACCTGCATGCATGAAATGTTGTCCTACAACAAAGAGATGTCTCTGGCCCCTGGCCACTGGAACAGGAAGCAATGCTCAGGGTGACAGGACTTCATAGAATCGTGGAATCTTTTGCATTGGAAGAGACCCTTAAAGACCATCTGGTCCAGCCCTCCTGCAATAAGCAGGGACACCTACATCTCCATCAGGCGCTCAGAGCCCCAGCCAGCCTCAACTTGGGTACGTCCAGGGCCATGGCATCCACTTGTTCCTCAGGGCCCCACCAGCCCCTCCAGGGGGCCATGCTACTGCCATGTCACTGTGAGGCAGAGCAGCCACCAGCACAGGGAAGGCTGCAGAGGCCAGACACAGCGTGAGCACTGCAGTCTTGGATAAACCTCATTTATTGATCTTCTCTGTCAAGGAAACTGTACCCCTGCTGAGTTACATCACACAAAGTTCAGAGCAGCAAGGAAGCTGCATGATGATTTAAAGCCCAGCACAATGGAAGTAAACCAGCTTCAATCCTAACCGGGCAGCAGTTCCATAATTAAATACCAAGTGCAATGTGAAGCTGCCCTACAGACTGATGGTTAATGACACCCTTATATCACTGCATGGGGATGCTGTGCCCACATCCAGAGTGTTGTGTGTGGTTCACCTATTGCATCTCAGTGGCTGTATTATTTGCAGTACAATAGCAGCAAGCAACATCAGGAGCTCCACTCCGCCTGGCGCCAAAACAGGACAGAAGGCAGAATGGGATCAGACAGACAAAAGCTGGGTGAACTGAAGCAGTCAAATCTCTGCTGCACAGGAGAGGGTGGGAGGGCTCTGCAGAAGAAAAGCAAGGATAACTCTACATGTTTTGCACCTGAGGCTTGGCAGGCTGTTAGCTTAGGCTGGGTGCCAGGCAAACACAGCTTTCAGAGCGCTTTCCAACAGGACGGCCGTTCTGGGCTGAGCTGCTGCAGGAGCCCCTCCAGGTGTGGCTGCACTCCCTGCACTGTCAATCTGCACTCAGATAATGCCCCACTGCATTATCTGGGAAGCTGGTGCCATCGTTATCCTCCTTCCACAGACATGGGGACTGAGATGCCAGCGATAACGGGGCTCCAGCAAGTTTGCCTGGGAAGACCCAGATATCCCTGACCACTTGTTTAACAACGAGACCATCTTTACAGGACCCTGTCGGTTATTCTGGGCAGGGGACTACAGCCTCGTGGTTCCTGTAACCCACAGTCAGCACTTGGCATGTAAACCCTGAACGAGGCTGCCCGTACTGAGGCAAGGCATGCGGTCTGCTTCAGTTCTGGACCAAAAAAAAAAAAATCAAGATCCATTTGCCTGCCTTAGTATTTAGGTTTATCAGATAAAATCACAGAATGGCCTGGGTTGAAAAGGACCACAATGATCATCTAGTTTCAGCCCCCCTGCTATGTGCAGGGTCTCCAACCACCAGACCAGGCTGCCCAGAACTTCATCCAGCCTGGCCTTGAATGCCTCCAGGGATGGAGCATCCACAGCCTCCTTGGGCAACCTGTTCCAGTGCTTCACCATCCTCTGAGTGAAAAAAATTCTCCTTAATATCTAACCTAAACCTCTCCTGTCTTAGTTTAAAGCCATTCCCCTTTGTCCTATCACTAAAGACAAGTTGGTTTTGTAATAGCTCCAGTTAACAGAAGTTTCTTAAGTATATCTGAGTCAAACTGTGCTGCAGAACATGGCAGCAATCTCATAAGGAGCTCCTTGCCATGGTGCTGTGCAGCACAACGAAACTGGCTCCTGTTTGTCCAAAAACCTCATCTGTGAGCTCAGCTCACATACAGACTTAGAAGGCAGCACCTTGGTTCGAGTAACCACTTCTGTGTCTTCCCCTGGGGTCAGGTTTTGGTTAGACTGACCACAACTGAGTCTTGAGTAGCTGCGGTGCATGTCCTTACAGAGCCACATCAGGGCTTCAGTTTCGGCGTTGGGAGTTATCTGAGATAGAAGACAAGATTATCTGCATCTCCTGATGGGTACCAGGGTGGAATGAGGGGAATGTCCCACTGTCTGCTCCAAGACAGTTTCTGTATGCTACGGAGTATGGTGTCCCCCATATTCTAGGGATGGGGGTGATCTCTGCCCCCAGGCCATCTATCTGCATGCAGGGACCTTCGCACTTCCCTTTCTGACCATGATGCTGAAGTCCTGCAGTTCCTGTCTGCAGAGCCTGGTGCGCTCCATGGAGTTGATGCACCAAGAAGTCGTGGCTGGAGGGATGCATTCAGCACCTGAAGTCTCTGTTCAGGTCTTGCTGTGCATAGAAATACTCATGTCTTGGCTACAGTTGTTTTGTTTCCAGGGGAAATAAAGCACATAAGTCTCTGCTGTACCCAGAGAGGCCCTCCAAAGAGCACAGCCGGTACCACGTACCTGCTGAGATTGGCACAGATTTAAGTAAGAAAAGGGCTTATCCAAAGCCAGTCAATCTCAGCTCTGCTCACACTTCTGGAGTTCTCCCAGTCTTGTCCAGGCTGACTGCAAATAACACGTCTGCCCTGTGGATAGCTCACAGATGAGGGAAGAAGGGGAAAACAGGCTTGCTACCTGTTTCCATTTTTCTCCTTCCAAAGCAGACAGAGCTAGCTTCCCAGCAGTGCAAACCAGGAACCAGCAAAAACAATAAACCAACCGTCTGTATGGCTTCAGCCAGAACAGCAATGTCGCAAACCTCCCCCAGGATGCCAGCCAGGCTGTGAGAATGAGGAAATGCCAACAGCAGAGCCCTGAGGCAGCTCCAGGTTCCCCGACTGCTGGGGCAACACTGCTGGGTGCTGAGGCTGTCTGTGGCCACATGGTGGGAACAGAGCTGCTGAGGGGTCCCAGTGCTGCAGCATGCGCCCACCATCGCACCGTGCTTCACCCTCATCCCTCTCTCTGTTCCTACCTCAAAGCACGCTGTTTGCTTTTGCACAACCATACAGCACTGTTGACTTGCTGTGCTGTGCCCCTAACCCCATCCCTGTGCTGCCTGGCCGGTCCCTCACCCGCTGCCCACGCGGTCACTCAGTCCAAACATGGGACACAGCGCATGTTCTGCTCTTTCTGACCTCCCCTCCAATTTGTCCTCCTCTTTAATAAGCCCCTCTCTCAAACATTTCCCCTATGTCACCCACAAAGCAAGTACGTCCCTCCCTGCACCACTGCCTGCTGATGACAACGCAACTGCCAGCCCCCCCCCTCCCCCCGCTACATACCTACACACTCCCTCCAGTTTAATCATTGATTAATACTGAGGATGTTGGGTTTGGAAGCCAAAGGCACGTCCCTGACCACAGGATATTCTTCACCATGAGCAGAACTCAAAAACATGTTTCAAAACAGGGCAAAGCAGAGGTTTTCCCAGAATTTTCCATGCTCTGCTTTTCCCACACCAACTCAGACATTTTGGCCACAGTTTTCCTATAGAAATGCACCAGCCTATGGGCACCTGGTGAGGTTAAACAGGCAATACTGATGCTGGGCAGAAAAATCACCCATCCACAGTATTGGTTGGGGCTTGATCAAACTGGGAAACAAATTTTTGGTGTACCAAGAGACCATTCTGCTGGTGCCTGCCAAATTGATACAGTGTGGAGAGGCCTGACAGGGACGTGGATTGGGGCAGCACTTCATAAATTGGGAATCTGAGGTTTGGGAAGCCTAGAGGTCTCACCCTAAGGCATGGGGAGCACAAACCTGAAGCACCATGAGGTGTTGGTGGAGCAGTTCTGATGCTGACACAGCACACACAACTTTATCTGAGAGATGTGACTCTGAATAAGAAGTTTATTTCTCCAACTTGTCAACAAGAGACCACAACTTTAAGTGCTGTAGCGGAATCCTGCATGGCTTCTATTCCTTTCTTCTGGGATCTTTGCTTGCTGCTCTTACCATGCTAACAACTACCTCACGGTGACTCACTCACTTCTGAGCTCTCCCTTTCCTACAGCAAAGCATCAGGGTGTGCTCTGAGCACAGCAGCCCCCCAGGGAGCTGCCAGACCCTGCTGTTAAAAAACCTCTTTCTTTCCAGAAAGGACGCAGAGGAATTGCACTGCCTGCACATGAAAATATTTGGGCTGGCTGCTGCTGCCTGTTAGAAGGGCCTCCAAGATCAGCATGCCCTCTGGTTTTGCTTCTTGCAGCAACTCAGAGGATGCACAGGGCCGTGTGGAGCAGAGGGTAGCCCAGGGGGTGGTTTGGGGTGGAGGGGAGAGAACACTTCCAGCATGAGGCCAGTGCCAGCTTGCTGCTATGGGAGCACAGCCTATCCTGTGCTATGGCAGGAGAAGCAAGTGGGGTCTCGCCTATCATCCCTTGGTGCTTTTTCCTTAGGGACACTGAAGTGCTAACATCCTGCTGTGAATCATTGCTGCCTGTGCAGTTTCAGTAAGCTGTTTTACATCTGCATTTATTTTCACCCACTCTTTCAGGTGGGTGCTGAAGCCAAAAGGAAAGGAGGAAGAGGTGTTACTGACCTGGGAGGAGCTGAAGGAAAAGCAAGAGAAGAGGGCAAGCGGCTTCACAGGGAAAGGAGCACAAAGGACGGTGCCTACAGAGATCATGCTGCCTTGTGAGTGCAGCCTTTGCTTTGCCTGAACACATTGTGTGCCCTTCAGGCACATCCACACTATGCCACGGACACACCTCTCTACTGAGCAGCTGCAATGGGCACAGAGGTATCTGGGGAGGAAACACCTCTGGTTAAGGCAGCAGCACACAACAAATGCCTGGTGAGTTCTGATGCATGAGAGAAACCTGGTCCAGGCATGCACGGTGTGCACAGGGCCCCAGCTGCCTCCCATCTGGTCAATAAGGTGCTCAGTGATGCTGCCTCACTCAAGCAGGTACCTGTTAGTGATGGCCGGTGGTTGGTATCAGCACACTGCTCTGGGTGCATTATCTACAGACCCATATTGGCAGACCATGGTCTGTGGGGAACTCATAGGACATTTTTGCAAAGGCTGAAGAGGTGATTGCCTCTCTCAACTCTGCCACCTCTGGAGTACTGCGTCCAGATCTGGGGCCTCCAATACAAGAAAGCCAGGGAGCTGTTGGAGAGGGTCCAGAGGAGATCCACAAAGATGATCAGGAGGCTGGAGCACGTCCTCTATGAAGACAGGCTCAGGGAGCTGGGTTTGTTCAGCCTGGAGAAAAGAAGGCTGAAGGCTGACCTTACTGCAGCCTTTCAGTACCTAAAGGGAGCCTATAAACAGGAGGCGAGTCAACTCTTTACAGGGGTAGGCAGTAGCAAGACAAGGGGAAATGGTTTTAAGTGGAAGGAAGGAAGATTTAGGGGTGGATATCAAGGATAAGTTCTTCACTATGAAAGTGGTGAGGTTCTGGAACAGGCTGCCCAGATAGGTTGTGGATGCCCTGTCCCTGGAGGTGTTTAAGGCCAGGTGGGATGGGGCCCTGAGCAGCGTGGTCTAGTATTAAATTTGGAGATTGGAGGCCCTGCATGTGGCAGGGGGGTTGGAGATTCATGATCCTTGAGGTCTTTTCCAACCCAAGCCATTCTGTGATTCTGTGAACTAAATTGAAATGCAAGTGTTAGCAAATCCAGGCTTCAGACTTACTGGAAGTCTGAGCACCTGGAAAAAGATGGAAGGAGCTCAGGAATTCCTGAAACCTTAGCCAAATTTTTAAAAATCTTCCACTGATTTGGGCTCTGGAGTACCCAAGGGCTTTTAAGATGGGATGTTGGCTCCCACATCACTGATTTCCAACCATTTCATCCATTCAGATAAGCTATATTCCACTTAGATGAAGATGGGAAGCACCCTGCAGTTCACTGCAGGGGAAATGACCCTATGGAGAAGCAGTAACTTAAAGTTTGGAAATCTGTCCTCTGCTGTGACACTGACAGGAAACCTGATTGTAATCAGCGACGGTAAACATCTGGATAACAAATTGGTGGGCTTCAATTCCATAATGTAACATCTCACAGCCATCCCTCACACGTCAGAGCTCCTCCACTGCCCCACTTCTTCCACCACCGGAAAAAATGTGTTTCCCCTGAATCTAAAGCTGCTTTCATTGATGGGTGTAGTGCTGCAAGGTCGCAGCCAAAGCAGAGCTCCTAATAATAAAAAGCAAACCAAACAAAAACAGAAGTAAAAAGCAAAGCAAACACAAATTATGCTTTCAAGAAGCATGTTTTCCTTGGGCTTGCTGCGTTTTCTTTTTAAATAAAGACTTGTTGAGTCACCAACATTTTCAGCTCCACAATTATGGAGGAAATCGAATCCGTGCACTGAGTATTGGATCCTACATTACTGTACATTTGTTTTATAGCAAATGGGATTTTAAAAGAGGAGAAAATGTAAGGCTGATTTAAAATCTAAAGTATTTTAAGTAGCTCAATCTTGTTAGCCCTCCATCTCCTTAGCCTGCAGGAACACTGATACCGGAGGAGCGACGTTCCCCTCTCGCTGTCTCTGGTTTCTCTCCCCGGGATGCACTTTCCTAATGCACCACTTCTACCCGCAGCGCTGGGCTGGTGCTGTGGGGCTCCCGATGCTCTGCCCGCAGCTGTCCCCGACGGGCTCAGTACGGGGACAGCCCGAGCCGGACCATCCCGCCAACGGGGCATCCCTGCTCCAAAGTCACCCCTCCAACTCCATCACAGCTGTCACGGTGCGGCACAGCGACACGGAGCAGATGGAGCGCCGCGCATCCGACCTTATTTCCTTATAGGAACCCCCAGGGGCACTGAAGCAGCAGAAGCCTCCCGCTGCTCGCCCCTGCGGGCCCGCGTGGCTCCGGCTCTTTTAATACCTCACAGCCCGATTTCTCCCGGGCCGGAAGAAGTCATTCATCTCCACGAAGCGTTTGCAAAGCTCCCGCTCTGGCAGCCACCAGCAGCCCCGTTCCCCTCCCATCCACGCCTGTGCGCGCACAGCCCCCGGCCCCGCACCGCCCCGCACCGCACCGCCCCGCACCGCACCGCACCACCCCGCCACGCCGCCAGCCCGGCCCCACCGCCCTGACCCGGCGCCCGCCTCCGGCACCGACAGCGGCGGAGGCCCCGCGGACCCCGGGCCGCTCCCTCCCTCCGCCGAGCTCAGCCGCACGCAGGGACCCGCAGCCGCAGCCCCTCGGCCGCACTCACCTCTGTGCCGGGCGGGCAGCGGGAGGGCGAGCGGAGCGGCCGCTGGCGGTGAGCGAGGCGCGCTGATGTCAGCCCGAGGCTCCGCCCTCCTGTCCATGTGCCGCCGGCGGCGCAGATCGGCCTGCCCGGCCCGGCCCGGCGTGGCCCGGCCCGGCACGCCCAGGAGGCACGGCTCGGCGTGTCGCAGCCCGGCACGGCAGCGGGGGATGCGGAGCGCACGCCCTCCGGCCCCGTCCCAGCTGCGGCCCCCGCGCCGACGTTAAGCGCCGGGCACCGCAGCGGACGCGAGACCCGTTCGGGGCAGGAGTTCTTAATTCTCCACGTACATGGGCGTTTCGGAGCCGGCGAGCGTTTCGTTTTAATGGAGGGTGCGGCTCGGTGCGGCCGTGGCAGTGCTATCAGGGTCTGTGCACCTGCTCGCGGGGCTGTGAGCGGGGAGCGGGGCAGATAAGCGGCCTTGCCCCGACGGCGCAGAGCTTCCTGCGGCAGCGCGGTGCCACGCTGCCGGGAGACAGGGGGCCAATAACGCGGTCAGAGCCGCGGGGATTTACCACTGACCCCTCTGGAACCTCATCTGCCCCTTCCCCTGGAGGCTCTTTCCAAAAGCATCTTTGGGAATAGCTTTATCCGCCGCTCTGATGCTTTTCAAACTGATCTCGGGATGGTGGCACAGGTGATGATGTGAGCTGTTGGACTCTCCAGCAGCTGATAAAGGTGCCCAGCTGCCCCGTGCGTGTCTTGGTGATGTGACTGCCATGCCACAGCCAGAGTTCTGTGTGGATTCAAGAGAAGAAATCATTGAACTCTGCTGGACTTTCAGGATTTTGTTACCTGTACTCCTGCATCATAACTGAAACAGGTTGCCCAAGGAGGTTGTGGATGCCCCATCCCTGGAGGCATTAAAGGCCAGGCTGGATGTGGCTCTGGGCAGCCTGGTCTGGTGGTTGGTGACCCTGCACATAGCGGGGGGTTGGGGGGGTGGTGGTGTTGAAACTAGATGATCATTGTGGTCCTTTTCAACCCAGGCCATTCTATGATTCTATGATCATGTAAAGGACACATTTGTCTTTCTCCTGCCCTTTTAGTTTATTTACAGAGCTCTCCGTCAATGCCATTCTCTCCCTCAGTTGCTGAAATACCTTTTAGCTGGTTCTTTTCTACTCTCAGGGCTCCTGCAGCCTCCGTGAGCTGCTGCAGTGAGTTCCCATCTCTGCCTTTAGCAGCACCCGCTCCTCTGACATCCCTTTAACACAAAGTGCTGAGATCTGCTGACTTCTGTGACTTCGCTCCCTTTTCATAAAACAGTAAACTTTTTTTCTTCTCTTTTTTTTTTTTTTCTTTCTTCCTTTATGTCCCTCAAGTATCGTCCACTTTTCTACCTTCACCAAATCCACGTGCAGGAGGTAATGCACACTTCATCCTCCCCTCCACTGCTCCCTGCCTCCAGGACCAGGGGCACGTGCATTGATGAGCACATTTCTCAGGGACACACTCTCCATTTTGCTCTAGGTGTCCTTTTTGCTCTGAGTGAACCACCCAGAGGTGCAGCGTTACTTAGTGCACCCAAGTGGTACCTGGGAGGGATGCCTGGACTAGAAGAGCCAAACAAGATAACCCACATTTTGTTGGGCACTTGTAGGTGCCCCTTAATTCATCTCTGGCACCACTTTGTAGCTTAAGGAGTGCTGCCACCATCCCCACCCTGCTCCGTTTTGAGTCGCCCTCCATCCTCAGCCAGGGGCTGCTGGCACCTCTTGAAGAGGTCAGTGGGAGAAGCCAGTTAATGAACACAGCGCTGCCAGAGAATGGACTCCTGCCTCTAATCAGCTCTGCTCCGGCTATTGCTATGGCAGCTGCATGGCTTTTTGGAGAAAAATGTATTAACTCAATCAGCCCTTCGTGGGGGACCCGGTGCAATGCTCAGCTCGGAGCTGCCTGTCTGCAGGCGCCATCTAGTAGGGAAAGTAGAAAACACAGAGACTAAAACGGGGAAGTTGAAAGGAGCTTTACATTCAGGAGCATCATTTCCAGGCAGCTCCTCGCCTACAGTGTTGGGTGAATTGCAATACATGGCTTGGTCCACAGTGTTCAAACAAGCTCTCTTTATGGCAGGATCCCCATACCCAGGACAGCACATTGCTGCTCCTTGCCTAGAGCAGAGCCTTGATTCATCTCCACTTTCATAGATAAAAGCCTGAATTAATTAAAGAAAAGAATAGAAATCACTTTGATTTCCAGAACACCAGAACCTCCTAATTATCAGCACTTCCACTAGTGCCGCAGTAATGAACGGGCTGTTCTTCCCATGCAGACCCGGTTTTTGCAGAGATTTACACAACGTATCCAAATTTCCTGCTCCCTGTGCAGTATGGTGGCTCAGAGTATGGGTCTGACTGTGGATGCATCCCTGTGAACCACCAAAGTGATGTCTGATTCCTTCCCCCATGGATTTCTTATTGGAAATCTGGGATCCCTGATGGCAGCAAACTGTGGACAGCATCTGCTCTCCTATTAAACTCTGCTTATTCAAAATAGTAAAACTGGGGTCTTTGTTTCTTTGCCTTCTGGTCTTTTGGTCTTTGAAATGCACGTGGGAGTTGCTTCTAGCTTTTTGTCATAGTCAGAGTTTCCCTGAGCACCCGAGGGTAGGATCCGGCTGTGGGGATCCCTGGGGGCTGTAGGTGGTGTATGGTTGCAGGAGGTGTGGAGCTGATGTGGAATGGTGGCTGTGCTCCTGTGCTGTCTGTCATGGAGCACCCCAAAGAAAAGGGTTTCTTAAGAACAAGTACATATGGTCCAGAGCTGTCCTGCAGCTCTACTGCAGGTGCTGTGATGCATTCAGCATGCAGTGCTTTATATATTGGACACCTGATGTCAGGAGCATCATCTTGCCTGAAGTCCATCAGTACTGGTATCCAATGGTTCAAATAATGCTTCACATAAGACACTTCCATTTATCATCTAGGAAGGCAAAGAGCAACACCTTTCCATAGAGGCAGCCAGCTCGTATCTTACCCCTTATACACCCTTGTCCAACAAACCACATCTGGGGACTTGCCTGGGACTCCTCAAGAAGCAGTGGGACACCTCTTCTCCTTTGGTGTTGGTGCCACATTGGGTCAGATGAGCTTGTCTGGTGGAAAAGGTGTTCCACCTCCAAACACCTCCAGTGTAGCAGCCATTGCATACGTGTGGATGGCATGGGTGAGATGTGCTGTTGCTCTGGCATCAGGGAGAGGAAGTGCTGTTGTTCAGCAGCACATCACCAGGACAAAAGAAAACTGAAAGAAAAAAAGGAAGTGAAAGGAACAAATGCAGAATTTGTCTGTATTAGCAATGCAGGGAAGCATAGGAAGTTAAGAAGATCACAGACAATTGAATTTAATTGAAAAAGAAGATTAAATAAAGTGAGACTCGAATATGAAGAGCTAATTTGGATTAAAGAAACAAGCTGATTGCCTGGAGACAGAAATTGGAGGATGAAAATCATATTATTTTGTATCTGGGTTCCAGTTCTGTTTATATCAGGACAGTAAAAAAAAAAAAAAAAAAAAAAGTAACAACAACTCAAAGTGATTTCCCATTGAAATGATAACCTTTTTGGAAGAGGGTCACAAACCACTGGGAAATGGGGTGCTGATACAATCTGATAAGCTTAGGAGAGATTTAGCCCATGTACAGGAAAATGGGAGAGCTTCAAAGAGTGTTTTTGTGTTCCCAGCATCTTTGCTGCTGACAGAAGGACATTAATTTGTCCAAAAAGTGTCAGAATTGGGTGTTCTGGTGCACCCAGCACCAGGCTGGGGCTGAGGTCTCCATGCTGTGCATGGCGCAGGTGATGCTGGCAGCTTGTGCATCAGCTACTGAAAGCACAGGTGATAAAGGAGTAGTTTTAGGGAAAATTATTCTATTACTCTATTATTCTTATTCATAGCACAAATGGAAATATATGTATTAAAGCATGTATAAAGCATAAAGCACAAATATGAAATGTAAGGGCTTATCTTAAAGTGCTTCCCTTCTCCAAGTTTCCTAATTTCCACTTGGCAGCTTCACCCTTTTCTGCAGCACATCCACTGACCAGCGTCCTCCTCCCAGTGACTCAGGCTGTGTCTGTTGCTGTCCATGAGGCCATGGGCATGTTCCCATCTACCCATCCTCATCCCTGTTCCCATCCCAGTCCTCATTCTTATCCCCATACCTGCCCCCATCCCCATCTCTGTCCCTGTGCTTGTCTCCATCTCCATCCCTGTCCCCATCCCCATCCCTGTGCCCCTCAGGAGGCAGGACAGTGTCCCGTGGTGTTCGGGGAAAGACTTTGGGAGCACTTGAGCTGGGGCTGGGGAGGACAGGCCCTATGCCCTAAGAATCATGATCTGCTCCAATATTATGAGTGGTTTGCAGAGCAAAATCCAGCTGTGATTTCATTAAGGAGGCTCTCGCTCCTTGTGCTCAATATTTAATTTAACAGGAGTGTGTGTGTTGGGTTCAGGGTGTTGATTAACCATGACTCTGAGATAGAAGGAAATTACTAATATGGGAAAGTGCAGTCAGTATTTCATGGCGAAGAGTAATTGAGCTAACAGTTGACATATGGAGTTGTGTGGGCAAACTAATTAAATTTTACATCTTCCCGAGCATTTGTGAGTTTTATAAGCATTTGATTTATATATTAATTAAACCTTGGAGTGAAATAAAGAGGACATGACTATTTATACCGCAAATGCGTCCATCAAGGGAAAGTGCTTTGAGGTATTTACAGGCAGACAGCAAAACTCCTCGGTGAGTCTCTGGCTGTAGCCAGTGGAAGCAAAGGAGCCAACACAGAATATCCCAGCTGTGTCCCAGTTGTGTGCCAGCTGTGTGCCAGCCATGTCTCCATCATGTCCCACCATATCCCAGCCACGTACCAACCGTCTCTGCCACATCCCAGCTGCCCCTCAGGGCTGGTCCAGTGGTGCTGAGCATCCCTCACCATGCCAGGTAGTGTGGCTTTGGGCATCACAAACCCTGACAGGGAGGCATTAAATCCCAGCTGAACTTGAATTGTAGAATCATTAAGGTTG